CTAGTAAGACAAGAGCTGCCTGTGAACAAAAACTACAAATCAGTGGTTTTGTATATATACAGTAGAGTCTCGCTTATCCAACCTTCGCTCACACAACATTCTGCATTATCCAACGCAGTTTGCCTCCCGCCTGGATCCACACCTGTTTCAATACATTGCAATGTTTTGGTGCTAAATTTGTAAATGCAGTAATTACTACATAACGTTACCATGTATTGAACTGCTTTTTCTGTTGATTTGTTGTAAAACATGATGTTTTTTTAATTTGTAAAATCATGTTATTTGACGTTTAATAGCTTTTCCTTAATCCCTCCTAATTATCCAACATTTTTGCTTATCCAAAGTTCTGCCAGCCTGTTGGATAAGCGAAACTCTACTGTATTTGCAAAATCAAAAAAAGGATACATACATTTTTGATTAAATCTACAAATGTGAAACAGTCATATTTTATTTTGGTCCGGCTGAGAAATCCAGTCATTCTACAGTTCTTGCAATCATCAGTGCTTTCCAGTTAGAGTTAGTCATTCTATTTCTCTGGAAGTCATTCAAATACCCTAGTGCTAGAAGCATCCTATCAATCAAAACATACTGAGTAGCTAATCTGTTTTTCCTTACTTATTGGAAGGTGAAAAATACAGGAGCGTTACACCTTGTAGACAACACCATGTAGACCACGATTCATCCAGGAAGCAAGAGAAAAACCCTGACAAGAAGCATCTTGAAAGGAGAAAGGAGAATACAGAAGCATCCCACTATTACAAATAAATGAAAGCAGACACATATAAATATGTGAACACTGGTGATGTGACTCTTAAGGCATTACTATGATCAGCCCAGTCACATTACATTTAAATTTCCATATCTCATGTCCCGGGACACAAATCATTAGGTACGTAACAAGGTTCAGGTCCACATTACAGTCCACCAAATTTCTCAGCCTGCCGCCCCTTGGATCTGTTGGACAACTTCCATAACTATCTACAAGCAGAGGGTGAGAGGAATTTACTTATATCAAATGCCATGGCTGAAAGCAGTTGTTTCGTAACGGTACAGTGATATACCCAAGACAGGTGCAGACTTCAGAGAACTTAATATCTCACTGTGTAGGTGAGGGTACAGGGCAATGTAATGTATCTCATAGACAGTGACTACAGATGCCACTTTCCTTTCCAGAGCATTGGTGCAGTGGTATGTTTCCCCCCCCTTTTTACTGTGCCACATCAAATACGGAATACAGTATTGACTAATTCTGAATACATCTTCCTGGTAAAAAGAATGCTAGTTGTTGAAAGTAGATTAAGCTTTACAGTGCACAGTAGAGGGCTCATTTCTCTCCTTTCTATATAATTGATGAGAATTCAGGCCCCTTCTACACTGCCATATGATCCAGATTAAGCAGATAATACAAATTTTATATGGCAAAGTAGACGGGGCCAGAGACATTTCTGAGGTCAATGGAGTGTTTGAGAGGATTCAAACTATGAACTAGGATAGAGGAAGCAAAGAGTAGCCCAACAGTTAGGGCTAGTAGAAGGGCTGCTTCCCAAATCTTAGTGTGTGAAGGAGTGAATACAGTTAGAACTTCTATAGTGTGTGGCAGACTGTTTGGATTGGTCCCTGTGCATTTCCTACAGTGTGCTTTTTATGGTCAAATAAATCTATATATTGTATCACATTACCGGCTTTAGCACAGCTGGTAAATCACCAGCAATGGTAAGATCTACCAACTGAAAGGTTGCCAGTTCGAAGCCCCTGGGTTGGCATGAGCACCCGACTGTCAGCCCTGCTCACTGTTACTTAAGCAGTTCGAAAACAGCTTAGACCTGTACGTAGAAAAATTAGATACTGCTAAACAAGCGGGGGAGGTATTTTACGACCATAAAAAAAAAGATCGGAAAATGTCCAGTGACCAAAAGGAAGGAAATCCTGACGGCTCTTCATAATAGAGGATGGAGCGACAACATCCCGCTGTGACTTTGAGCACAACCTCCAAGGGGCCAAAAAGCTGGATGTCGACACAACATACCTCCTTTCTATTCCGTCTGTCTGTGTCCTGTCTGTCCAAAACAACATTGAATGTTTGCCATGTATGTGTACTGTGATCCACCCGGAGTCCCCTTGGGAAGATAGGGTGGAATATAAATAAAGTTGTTGTTGTTGTTGTTATATTACAGAATAAGATGAAAGCAGGTGGGTTTGCAGTGAGCGAGCTGTCTAAACAAGCCATGAAATGATACAGAAACTTCCTAGCTAATGAAGTTGTCTTGTTTGCTGCTGATGTAAATCTCGCCCACTAGAGACAGTAAATTTAAAAAAAATGTAATATGATTCTAGATTGCCCTAATAGAAGTTTAGTATCTAGATCAAGGGAAGTAATAGTACTACTCTATTCTGCTTTGGTTAGAACTTACCTGGCATACCCTGTCCAATTCTGGGTACCACAATTTAAGAAGGATATTGATAAGCTGGAAAGTGTACAGAGAAAGGCAACCAAAATGAGGAACGGCTGAGGAAGCTGGGTATGCTTAGCTTAGAAGAGAGAGGACTACTAGGGAAAATGATAAACCTATTTATATATTTGAAAAGATGTCATATTCTGCTACTTTATAGAGACTAGAACACAGAGCAATGAATTCAATTGCAAAAGAAAAAAAGTGACTCCATGTAAACATTAGAAAAAACTTCCTGACAGTTAGAACTGTTTACTAGTACAATATGCTGCCTGGGAGTGTGGCGGAGTCTCCTTTTCTGGAGGTTTTTAGAAAGCGGCTAGATGTTCATCTGTTGGGAGTGCTTTGATTGTGTGTTCCTCCATGCCAGGGATTGGCCTGGAGGACCCTTGCGGTCTCTTCCAACTCTGTGATTCTATGATCTACTTTGTTCTTCCTGTACAATACATATCACTGATATCAATTCAAAGTGCTGGCGTTGGCCTTTAAAGCCCTAAACAGTTCTGGCCCAACTTATCTATCCGAACGTATCTCAGCCTATCAGCCCACCAGGACCCTAAGATCTTCTGGAGAGTCCCTGCTCTCTATCCCGCCGGCTTCACAAGTGCGGCTGGCGGGAACGAGAGACAGGGCCTTTTCTGTGGTGGCCCCTCGGCTTTGGAACACCCTCCCTTTAGAGGTACGATCAGCCTCCTCGCTGATGGTGTTTCGGAAGAGATTGAAAACATGGTTGTTCAAACAAGCATTTGGCTAATACGTTGCAACCGAATGTTGATGACTAAAGGACTGACAATCACGGACGACGAATTTTGAATTGGGATTTTAGTTACGAGATGCATGGTATTATTATTGGTGGCCCAATAATTTGTATTGTAAATGTGTTTCATGTTTTTAAAAATGGTATTGTTTTTTAATTGTTGTAAACCGCAATGAGTCGCCGACTTAGGCTGAGATATTAGCGGTATACAAGTCCATAAATAAATAAATAAATAAATAACTCAGTAGCTTTAAGAACAATTGCTTGAAATTACACAGTGCTTTGCTTCCCCTTTTCCAAGGGATTATGAAGGAGAAAGCACGATTGTAAGCTGTTTTATGAAACCGAAGCTACACAGAGCTATAGAAACACAAGAACCATCATAATTCTCAATTTGCAATTACTTGTCACTGCTGTTGCCATTATCCTTTAAGGACAGCATGCTGTGACAAAAAGCATTTCCTTTACTTGGCACAAACAAAGGAACTTCTAAAGAAACTTAAGTGGCTTCTTCCACATAAGGATGTCACAGTCCACTTTCTTGTCTCTATTTCTTTCAGCTTCATATCAGTCAAAAACTAGCAGATACCAGTCTATTATATTAATGGAGTCCAGTGCTTCTGGAGACTCCATCCCTATCCACACAAAGGATAACTGAAATCATGGCAAGTGTTTTGGGAAAAATGTGAACTACTGGCAATAATCTTTGAGAATTCTTGGAGAACTGGAGAAGTCCCAGCAGACTGGAGGAGGGCAACTGTCCCTATCTTCAAGAAGAAGAAAAAAGAGGACCCAAACTGACCGTCCAGTCAGCCTGGCATCAATGTCAGGAAAGATTCTGGAGCAGACAATTAAGGAGGCAGTCTGCAACCACTTAGAAAAGAATGCTGTGATTACTAAAAATAAAACTTGCATTTCCCAAAAACAAGCCATGCCAGACGGAGTTACATGCCTGGTAGATGCATGGAATGCTTTAGATGTAGCATATCTTGATTTTAGTAAAGCCTTTGACAGCCTAAACTAAAAAAATGAATGTCAACAAGGATAAATGTAAGATACTACACTTAGGTAGAAAAAATGTAATACAAAGATACAAAATGGGTGATGCCTGGCTCAACAACAGTCCATGTGAGAAAGATCTTGGAGTCTTCATGAACAACAAGTTGAACATGAGCCAACAATGTGATGCAGTAGCTAAAAAACCAAATGGGATTTGGTTGCATCAAAACAAGTATATTGTCTAGATTGAGGGAAGTCATGGTGCCTTTGTGTTCTGCTTTGATTAGACCTCACCTGGAATACTGTGTTCAGTTCTTGGCACCACAGTTCAAAAGAGATACTGACAAGCTGGAAGGTGTCCAGAGGAGGGTGACTACAATGATCAAAGGTCTGGAGACCATGCCCTATGAGGAGCGGCTTAAAGAACTGGGTATGTTTAGCTTGAAGAGAAGGTTGAGAGGAGACATGATAGCCATATATAAATATGTGAAAGGAGGTCACAAGGGAGCACGTTTGTTTTTTGCTGCCCTTGAAACTAGGACTTATGAGTAATGGGCTCAAATTACAGGAAAGAAGATTCCATCTGAACATTAGGGAGAACTTCCTGACCATACGAGGTGTTCAACAATGGAACTCTCTGCCTCAGAATGCGGTGGAAGTTCCTTTTTTGGAAGCTTTTAAACAGAGGCTGGATAGCCATCTGTCAGGGGTACTTTGTGCTTTCCCTGCATGGTGGGGGGTTGCACTAGATGGCCCATGTTGTCTCTTCCGACTTTATTATTCTATGATTCTAAGATCTGAGCAGTCTCCATTGAGAGATTAGAACTAGAATTTTAGGCTGTAATCCTGCATCTATTTATTTGGGAGCAACTCTATGGAACTTATTTTGTAGTAGGCTATATGTACATATATATTCACATTTGTATCAGAGAGAAAAAAATATTGTAATACTAGAAAATTCAGAAATTATAATTATTGTGCACACAGAGCTGGAAGGGAAACTGTATTCTTGAAGCTATGTTAAATCAAATGACTCAGACCCTTTCTATACCACCATATAATTCAGATTGTCACAGCACATAATCCACATTATCTGCTTTGAACTGGATTATGTGAGTCTACACTGCTATATAATCCAGTTCAAAGCAGATAATTTGGATTTTATATGGCAGTGTAAAAGGGGCCTTAGAGAACAATTCTGAGAAGGTTGCTGTCTGGAGAGATATGAGTTGATGTGGATCAGCCTCTCAGCCAATGATACCTCACTAGAAAGCTCTACAGCTACAGTTGACAATAAGACCCAAAGTGGGCCATTCTGGAGTGGAAACAAACTGGAGGCAGATTCAAAGTCCCTTCCCTCCTCTGATTGGCTCAAAGGTGGGGTGCATTATTTATGCCACAGGTAAGCTCCTTCTGCTCTGACTAGTCTTTGCAAACAGAACATTACATTTGCTATTTCATGTTTGTTTTTTTAGGATTGCTATGTAAGCAAACATGACAATTAAAGCCTCTGCAAACATTTGAGCATTAGTAAGCCCAGTTTAGTTCAGCCAAAGTTATGTCTGTTCCAGTGTGGTTATGACAAATCCAGCTCATAAAGTTCCATGCATGCATGCACTAATTTCAGTACTAACACCTATTTAATTCTGGTGTTAAAATGAGCGGGTCATACATTCCCTATTTTTCCATTACAACAACACAATACTCATCTTGCTCATAGGTCACTGAATGGATGTATCTGGATTCTGTTTACACAAATCCAAAGCCAAGGAGAGCTGCATACAGGAGCAGATTTCTGCACACATATAGCTTGCTAGTTTGGAAGCCATAAGCAAGAACGACATGAACATCTCACGTTACATCTGCATATGGATGCCAGCATCCTTACTGCATCAATCCCAATACAATTTGCATCTAATTATGTATTCTGCCTGCGTTCTGGTACACATAATCAGGTGTCAATATCTTTCTAAATGCCAGACTGGAGCCATTATTTACAAGACCACAATCTCCTTTATCACTTCCATTAGAGAAGCTACCCTGAACTTTTAAAAAAAGTAAATGGCAGACCAACTTGACTGTTAGGGAATATGAAAATACTTGTCAAGTCCTAAAATTTGAAACCTCAGGCTCTGTTCCCTTTAAAATACTATTTCTACAGACTTTCTCAGACTAATCTCAAAAATAGAATCATTTGGGCAAATATATAGACTTGCTTCCACCAAACAAAACAAAGTGGCCAAAAGCCAGAATAAGCACATGTTTCCTTTCCAGAAAAATATAAATCTTAACCTCGTTTCTTTTAAGGGGGCAGGGAAATGGGGGAAAATCCGATAGGTCCCCAGCAGCAAGGGGTGAGGGTGCTACGGCTGAAGGGCTATTACCTCCCTCCCTCTCTTAACACTTCACCTCTGTTTCCAAAGTGCATTTTGGCCTTGAGCTCCAGTGAGTCCTGACAGGATCCAGAAAGTGCTTTCACAATGTGAGTGAGGTTCTCCTTAGAGAGATGAAGACCAGCAATAAGGGCCCACAAGTCACGATTCGTTCACTGTCTCTGGAAAGAAGATCTCTCGACACCGTCTGACTGTGTCCCGAGGAGACTGGATACTATGTCCTACCGTGCGGGGGTCATCGTAGATTTCATAATCATTCCCACCCTAAGGATAAGAAAAGGTTTACTAAGAGTATGCCTGGTTTCTTAGAACTGGGAAACTGGAAGTGGCAGTCAAAGTGAACAGTCAAAATAATGGCAAAACAGATAAACTACAGCTGGTTTTCCAGGCTGTATGGCCATGTCCCAGAAGCATTCTCTCCTGATGTTTTGCCTGCATCTATGGCAGGCATCCTCGGAAGTTGTGAGGTCTGTTGGAAACTAGAAAAATTGGGTTTATATATCTGTGGAATGTCCAGGGTGGGAGAAAGAACTCTTGTCTATTTGAGGGAAGTTTAACAAGTTAAACATGAGCCAACAATGTGATGTGGCGGCAAAAAAGCCAATGGGATTTTGGCCTGCATCAATAGGAGCATAGTGTCTAGATCTAGGGAAGTATTGCTACCCCTCTGTTCCACCTTAGTTATTCTGGTTATTCTGGGCACCACAATTGAAGAGAGATATTGACAAGGTGGAATGTGTCCAGAGGAAGGCAACTAAAATGATCAAGGGTCTGGAGAACAAGCCCTATGAGGAGCGGCTTAAGGAGCTGGGCATGTTTAGCCTGAAGAAGAGAAGGCTGAGAGGAGATATGATAGCCATGTATAAATATGTGAGAGGAAGCCACAGGGAGGAGGGAGCAAGCTTGTTTTCTGCTTCCCTGGAGACTAAGAACAATGGCTTAAAGCTACAAGAGAGGAGATTCCATCTGAACACGATGAAGAACTTCCTGACTAGTGAGAGCCGTTCAGCAGTGGAACTCTCTGCCCCGGAGTGTGGTGGAGGCTCCTTCTTTGGAAGCTTTTAAACAGAGGCTGGATGGCCATCTGTCAGGGGTGATTTGAATGCAATATTGCTGCTTCTTGGCAGAATGGGGTTGGACGGGATGGCCGCTGAGGTCTCTTCCAATTCTATGATTCTATGAATATAGCAACTGGCCACCTTGATTAGCATTTAATGGCCTAGCAGTTTCAAGGTCTGGCTTCTTAGACAAGAGTTCTTTCTTCCAGCGTTATTTGATTGCAAAGAACTGTCATCAGCTTATTTCCTGCCCTCACCTTAAACTAAAACTGGATCATTTCTACAAGACTCATGAAAGAAACAAGCCCATTATGGCCAGGTGATTCTGAGAGTGCAAAAAAGTAATTTCCAAACCTTGGTTTCTTTCTCATTTCAACAGAACCCTTTGCAGCCAAAAATCTGCTGTTGAACTACACCTTCTACTATCCTTTAACATTGGCCACAATGGCTGGAGATGGTGGGAAGTGTGATCTAACAACACCAAACCTGTTCTATAATGCATGACTTACTATGTCTGTGAAGGACTAAGGTTGCCTCCCTTGTTTTTCAGTTTCCTTACTTGCAACTTGACACAAAACGGTTGCATTAGATGTACAGGACGTTTATTGTGGGTATATCATTTTTGAAATATTGACATGACATGAAATCTGAGCTAGAGGCCGCGGTGCTGAGTCCGTCTCCCACAAGAGGGCACTGTTAATCTGTGCTCCCTTTCAAGAGATGCCAGCTTCTAAGATGCTTTCTTGGGGCCTGGAAGGAAAGACATTTCCTTTCGAAAATGCAAAGCGGAGGACTAAATAATTATGGGTGAGCATGATGTGTAAGGGAGCTATGTGTGATTTCAGCCACTTTTAGCCTACATGAGAGCTATAGAGGCCTAATGTCTTTTGGGTGATGTTTGTAGGACATTCGTGTTTTGAAAACTGATGACTGACCAAGCTCCCTAAAGACATCAGCCACATATTTTTAAAGCACATGCATGGCTTTTGAACATCAGACAGAAAAGGTGGGCCTGTCCTGGGGTGTAACATGCCTCTGAGGGGAGTTTGCCACTTTTGATCGCAAGAAGGATATTCTGAGGATAGTGTGGTCTGTGAAAAAGACAAATAAATGGGTCCCAGAGCAAATCTGGCCAAAATTCTCCCTAGAAGCCAAGATGACTAAACTGAAGCTCTTGTACTTTGGACGTATCATGAGAAGACACTAGTAAGAAAATATTTCGGGTTCAACGTATAATGTGTTTTAATTACCTTTGACACTGTTTTGTGATTTGTACTGTGTAAACCGCTTTGAGTCGCCTACGGGCTGAGAAAAGCGGTATAGAAATAAAGTAAATAAATAAATAAACGTATCTTTGAGACCACATTTCCTTCTGTGAACTGGTGCAGGCCTTGAGATCTGCTGGGGAGCCCTTCTCTTGGTCCCATCACCGTCACAGGCACAGTTGGTGGGGACGAGAGAGAGGGCCTTCTCAGTGGTGGCTCCCTTGCTCTGGAATACCCTCCCTAGAAAGATTAGATTAGCCTCAAATCTCCAAACCTTCAGTTCAAGTCTAAAAACATCGCTATTTACATGGGCCTGTGACCTGGAGTAATGTATCATGGTCATGTGATGACGTTGACCATTGTTTGGCACTTTAGCTCAAGGTTGAAGAAACCCAATGGCCTACAGGAATGACTGTATTTTAGAATTTATTTTTTTAAATATTTTATGGATTGACGTTGTCTATTGTTTGTTTTCAGTCAAATTGTGTATTGTTTAGATGATATGCAATTCTATTTTATGTGTGGCACCTTGAGTCCTCTGTTAGCTGCCTCGAGTCCCTTCGGGGAGATCATGGCGGGGTACAAATAAAGCTATTATTATTATAAAAGAAAAAAAATGCTTGTTAAAATGGAGGTCCGTAGAAAATTAGGAGGACTGTATTTCAGATAGACAGACTAAATCAGGGACGCCATAGTCCTGAATCTTCAAGATGTGAGCAGGGCTATTGAGGAAAGGGTGAGTTGGAGTTCTCTCATTCATAGGGTTATCATAAGTCAAAATTGACTTGAGGTGCATCTCCACTGTAGAATTAATGCAGTTTGATACCATTTTAATTGCCATAGCTCAATGCTATGGAATCATAGGAGTTTGTGGTTTTACAAGGTCTTTAGTCTTCTCTGCCAAAGTGTGTGCCTTATGAAACTATAAACTCCAGGATTCCATAGCATTGAGTCATGGCAGTGAAAGTGTATCAAACTGCATTAATTCTACAGTGGAGATGTGTCAGGATTTGTAAATTACCTGGCATTTTAAAAATGATAACAGGGTTAATACTCAGGTCTAACCACATGCGAATGTGCTGTGTCACTGTAATCAGGGTGTGGAGGCTGATGTAATAAGAGAGGTATAAAAGTTGTGTTCTCCCTGATGTGGGATGGGTAATGGCTGCTGGAGAAAGTTGTTGTATATATTGTATATGCTGCATATATTGCTGCAACTAAAAAAAAGAAAAGCCTTCCTGCATATTTTTGGAATGAACAACTGTGTCTTTGTGTTCTTGTTCCTGCAGAAGTCCACTACACCTATCTGTGGGTATCTATTTCCATAACTGGAGTTATTAGTCCCTTCCGCACTCTCAGTTCTTTTATTATTGTCTAAAGCAGTGGTTCTCAACCTGTGGGTCCCCAGATGTTTTGGCCTTCAACTCCCAGAAATCCTAACAGCTGGTAAACTGGCTGGGATTTCTGAGAGTTGGAGACTAAAACACCTGGGGATCCAGAGGTTGAGAACCACTGGTCTAAAGCCCCTGAGAAGATGCACCCTTGGAGGCAGTAAACAATCAACAATAGAAGAAAGTGTTAGCCTTCTCAGCCTCTTGTCACAGAACGGAGGGCCACAAATACTTACAGGGCTTGTCTCATTCCCAAAAAAATGAATAGTGTCGAAACTCTCATCATCAAGGACGTCGAGGCAATAACGCTTATCCCAACCTTCTGGGAAAACGTCAAAACTAATCATGCCACCTAAGGGAGATGGAAGAAAAAAACACGAGGAAAGGAGGTTTGTTAGGGTAATTCCATCTCCCTATACTGCACATCTCAAACTGGAGGAGGGAAAAAAACATTACATGCTCCATGACTGCCTGCCTGACGTTTGGACACATTAATTCAATAGCTGCCGTCACTATAGCAATGGGGCTGAATGACGTCAGCGAGTCCTCATCAACAAAAGACAAAAACAAAAAACAGTTGGCCAGGATATACATGATGAACAGCTTCTTCTGGGAGAAAGTGCTACTTTGTTAAGGTGGAGAGAGGAAGAAGTCCTCTTTTCCTCCCTGCCTCTTCCTACCCAGCTGTAAATATATTCTAAATTAATGAAGAACCAACTTGTTAAAAGGACTCCTGATAAATGGGAGGTGAATGGGAAATACAGGCACAGCAAGAGCTACTATGTTGGGCATAGCATTGAGTAGCCAGGCAGGACAGAGTTTCGCCACAGGCTCCCAAACTGTCACTTTGGCAGCCTTACTGTGCCATGACTCCAAATGAATTAAGCCAGCATGCTTCTGGCAGCAATGCCAAGGCCGTTATTCTGCCAGAAGCACAATAATGTATCAAATGCCCTCTGTTCTTGGGGGGGACAGTAGTCCTATTGATGTCAACCATGCAAAGGCCTAACACACTGAGCTTGGGAAAATTACATTCCCTGCCATGAGGGTCCTGGGAAATGTAGTCCAAAACCTAACTTTCCAAAGCTCAATTAAAACATGGATGTGGCAACCATAAAATTTCCAATGCAGAAGAGCCAGCACAAGTACAGCTGTCTTACTCTTTGTCTTTTCTTGAATGCATGGAGATTAGACAGACAAAACTATAAAAACCAGGGGGGCATGAGGACTAGTGCAGGGATGGCAAATATAGAATATATGAATGCTACACAGCACAATGCACCACTACTCTTTGTATGTCAGGCAGAGGACTCGTGGCCACACACTATGTCTTAAGGCAGTGGTTCTCAACCTGTGGTTCCCCAGATGTTTTGGCCTACAGCTAGCAGAAATTCTAACAGCTGGTAAACTGGCTGGGATTTCTGGAAGTTGTAGGCCAAAATGCCTGGGGACCCACAAGTTGAGAACCACTGTCTTAAGGGATATTTGCCTTTTCCAAATAGTAGTTACGTAAACAACCGTTTATAGTTACTGGGAAGTAAGTACAGTATGCACTCAAGTATAAGCTGAGTTTTTTAACCCTTTATTATTTTACTCTATTATTATTATTATTATTACTACATTTTCTCTATTTATTATTATTATTACATATATTATTTTGCTCTATTATTATCATAATTATTCTTACATTTATTATTTTCTCTGTATTAGTGTTATTATTACATTTATTATTTTACTCTATTATTATTATTATTATTATTGCTACATTTATAATTTTTCTCTATCATCATCATCATCATCATCATCACCATTTCATTTATTATTTTACTCCATGCAGTCATGCCAACCACATGACCTTGAAGGTGTCTACAGACAACGCTGGCTCTTTGGCTTAGAAATTGAGATGAGCACCACTACCCAGGGTCAGACACAACTAGACTTAATGTCAGGGGAAAACCTTTACCTTTACTTTATTTTACTCTATTATATTATTATTATTATTATTATTATTACATTTATTATTTTACTCTATTTTATTATTACATTTCAGTTATTTTACTCTATTATTTTTATTATTACATTTATTATTTTGCTCTCTTATTTCTGTTATTATTACATTTCTATTATTTTACTCTATTTTTTTTATTACATTTATTATTTCACTCTCTTTATTACTATTGGAAGGATACATAAGCACATTTACATTGAAGAAGGTTAGAATAATGGTTTAATCAGAGTTGGACAGTCTTATCTTAAATTATAGTTTTATGAAAATATTCAAAAACATTTAACCTACAATAAAATTAATGTCATTTTATTGGTATCTATTTTTATTTTGAAATTTACCAGTAGCTGCTGGTAAACACTGAGTCAATACGTTTCCCCAGTTTATTCCAGTAAAATTAGGTGCCTCAGCTTATATTCAGGTCGGCTTATACCAGAGTATATACGGTATCTCTGAAGGAGAAATGAGGGATGTGAGAGATAACTAGAGGACAGAGAGACCAACGAGACAGATATAGACAGATGACGTATTTACACACATATATACATACATACATAAACATATATGAGAGGGAAAGGGAGGGGAGAGAAAGAGAAATGATAGATAGGGTGGTTGCAGCCTTAAAATATTTACAGAGAAGCATACAGAAAGCCTGTCCAATTCAGAAAGGATTATCATAGGGACAAAATCTCTTTTAAACTGAACAAGCAAAGCTCCACTCAATCATTTAAACCAAAACTGTACTCTATAGTTTTCCTTTCCCAAGAATTCCACCCAAACAAAATGTGCCAAAGTGGCTGAAAGGCACTTCTCATTCTCACCCCGAGAAAACCGCAGGCCCTTGCCAGCAAACTCCCTCTGCAAGGCAGCTACAAATTTCTCTCGGATCTTTTCTTTCTTCAGAGGAGACAAACAGAGAACAGAAAGAGAAGTAAGAATAGAGCTCCCCAGCTCCATGTTATTTTTATTCTTGTCAGATTGCATCCCCCCCCCCCCCCGCCCACCATGGAAATCAAGGTTTATTATGTCTGTGTTCCTGCAGGCTTTTCAAGAGCTGTGAACTGTCAGATTAATCTTTCTACTCAGCTCTGGCTCACAGGCAAGTGATCCTAGCAACAGACATAATACTGTTCATAAAATAAAGACACACAAACATGTATATAGATACATACACACAAACACACCACCATGGGATGTGAATAGTGCATCACATTATTATAATTAATTCAGCAGGCCCACGTTGCCCATTCTGGGTCTAATGTTCATCGTTTCTTACCTTATCCAGCTCAGAAAATTCGATTCGTTCCTCCAAAGTGCAGCTCCGACCAATGGGAGAGATGTTCAACATCCCATTGCGGAATTCTATGAAGGTGCCCCTGTTCCGTCATTTGGGGAAGCAGGAAGGAAGGAGGAGGAGAAATGTTAACAGGGCAGTTTATTTCACATAACATGAGGCAGAATCATTCTATCATTGGATTATACAGGATTGCAGTAACAACACTATCTATATAAATAAAAATGTAATGTTCGTTTGTGGGATTAACATAACTCAAAAACCACTGGGTGAATTGACACCAAATTTGGACACAGCACCAATGAGTGACCATCACTCATAAAAATAATGGAAAACACAGCAGAAGGGACTTAAAAAGACAAAAAAAATTACACTAAAATAAATAAATAATAATAATAAGAAATCCAGCACTGCAAAGCTAGGGTACTGTTCCTGATCATGCGCAGAGGGTCATAGAAATATAATAATAATAACATAGAATAATATAATAATAAATATAGAATAATATAAATAATAATATAATAAAATAATAATAAAGAGAATCTATATAAATAAAAATGTAATGTTCGTTTGTGGGATGAACATAACTCAAAATCCACTGGGCAAATTGACACCAAATTTGGACACACGACACCTCTCAGGCCAATGAGTGATGATCACTCATAAAAACACTGGAAAACACAGCAGAAGGGACTTAAAAAGCAAAAAATAACATTACAATGCATGCGGAAAACCACATATATATATACACACAAACACACATAGACAGAAATATATACATAAACATATATACACACACAAAACACATATATACAGACTGGGCCACAAGTTTTTGCAGAAATATTAAAAATTAACTAGGTATTTTTAATTACAAAATTGTGAGTCAAGCACTAAAAGGGTTAAATGGACGCAATGACTCAGCAAAAGCTGCAGTTCAATATAAGTAGGTGCTTCTGTGTTAGTTGCCCTCAGTATGAAGAGGCTTCAGTCTGAGAGGCCTCAGTCTGAGGTAAACCTCAGTGTTAGTAGGCCTCAAAGTTAGTAGACCTGAGTGTGTGAGAGGCCTGGTGTGAGAAGCTTTGGTGAGAGAAGCCCCAGGTTGAAGACCTCGTGTGTAAAGCTCCAGTGTGAATGCTGCTGTGTGTAAAAAGCTACTGTGTGAAGCTCCTGTGTAAGTTCAGTGTGAGAGGAAGCTCAGTGAGAGCGAAGCTGTTTATCTGCATGAGAAAGAAACCCAGCATGGAAGCAAAGAAGGAAGTATAAAGAACTCTACTTGTGTTACGGAAAACTTGTTCTTGTAAATACTGCAACCATATTATTTTGCTATAAATAAAAGGTTCTTGTAGGGGTTTTTTGGGCTGTAGGGCCATGTTCTAGAGGCATTTCTCCTGACGTTTCGCCTGCATCTATGGCAAGCATCCTCAGAGGTAGTGAGGTCTGTTGCAATTGGGACAATGGGTTTATATATCTGTGGAATGACTGGGGTGGGGCAAAGAGCTCTCTGCTGAAGCTAGGTGTGAATGTTTCAGCTGACCACCTTCATTAGCATTTGAAGGCCTGGCTGAGCCTGGGAAAATGTTCTCTTGAGAGGTGTTAAGATGTGCCTGGTTGTTTCCTCTCTGCTGTTTTGCTGTTGTAATTTTAGAGTTTTTTAATACTGGTAGCCAGATTTTGTTCATTTTCATGGTCTCCTCCTTTCTGTTGAAATTGTCCACAGATATATAAACCCATTTTCCTATTTCCAACATACCTCACTACCTCTGAGGATGCTTGCCACAGATACAGGCAAAACGTCAGGAGAAATGCCTCTAGAACATGGCCCTACAGCCCGAAAAAACCTACAAGAACCTAGTGATTCCAGCCATGAAAGCCTTCGACAATATATAAATAAAAGCCTCCTAAGCAAGAGATACCGTTGGTCTGTGTGGGGGTTTTGGCTACTGGGGCTGGGCCACACTGCTGCTAATAAGTTATTTATGAGGAGGGTATTTTGTTAATAAGCCCATTTGCCCAACAGTTATTTCCTAAAGAATGGTTTTATTTTAAATTGCACTGTTTTTACTTCCAACTCTCTGACAATGGCCCAAAGCAAAGGCAAAAATGTGCTGTTGTGTGCCTTCAAGCCATTTCCAGGCGAACCTAAGGATTTCTTGCCAAGGTCTGAGGCTGAGAGAGAGAGTGATTTGTCCAAAGTCACCCGGTGTGTTTTCATGGCCAAGTGGCAATTTGAAACCTGCTCCAGAGCTACATAACTGGCAGAACTAACTATGACTTTTCATTGCCTAAGAAAACCCTATGAAATTCATAGGGCCACCATAAGATAACAGAAGACTTGAAGACACACATATAGTAAGCTAGGACAATAAGCTTAAACTTCTGGCAGAAATATTAAGGGATTTTTTCATTTGGCTATGTAACTGTAGAGTCAATAAAAAGAAATAACATTATTGCCCAAAACATATAACTTTGTGTTGTTTTTTAGCTCCGTCTTTGGTTCCTCTCAGCTTAGCAGTTACAGTTTACATGCTTGCATGCTATCTTGATTGTAAAAACAGAAGCTGAATGCCCTGAAAAAAGGTAGGACTTTACCGTTTCTTGGGCAGCTTTAGGAGTGCCATGTAGCTGAGACAGAAGTTGATTAGTTCCTGCAGAAGTTCCTCCCCAAGGTGGTTCTGGATAGCCTGTCAATTGAAGTTAAAGGCCATGTTGAGCCAGGAGTTTAATTCTAGGATTCTCCCCCTAGTTCATATTGTAAAAGTCTTGTAAAGAGGACCCCCTTGGTCCAAGATATATGTGAGAACTACCCCCTTGTTGCTGTTATTTTGTTTTTGAGCCAGACGCTTAAGTATGTGGTAACTGGACAGCATCAGACATTTTTTGAGAAAACAGATGATTTAAATCACTGCTTCTTGAAACAATGGGAGATGGAGAACTTTTCCCCTGATGTGCCAGAAATTGTTACCATATTTATACCATTGGCTATTGTTTCTTTTTTTCTGGAAGCTCTCTGGGGATTGTATCATTGGACTGCTCCATGGGTCATTACTTTGTATAGCCCTGATTTAGACCCATTTCACTTGGTACCAAAACAGTATTTTGTGTGTGGTTTAAGGCAAGGGAATTGTTGCATTGAATACATTGGTGAGCTTTGATACCATTGATCACAGTATTCTATTTGACTGCTTCTGTGGGATAGAAACAGGAGTTGAACAGGAGCTGGGGGTGATGACGGCCGACAGGGAGCTCTGGCGTAGGCTGGTCCATGAGGTCACGAAGAGTCGGAGACGACGGAACGAATGAACAACAACAACTCTGCCTCAAGCCATGAGGAGATGAGGGTAACAAATAAAATTACATTGTTATCATTGTTGTTGTTATTTCTGACTGGAGTAAACTCACTGAATTAACTAGATCAGCAGTTCCTAAACTTTTTTGATTATGGAACTCTTCAGAAGACATTTATTTTCCACAGACCCTAACTCTATCCCTGTTTAGTTCAAATGTATTCTGGATCATTTTATGCTAATTCAAATATGTCTCCAAATTTTCTATATATAATGTGTAACTTTTGAGTAAATTTTACTCTGATATTTTATTAATAATATACCTGCCATACTCCCATAGAGGCTTTTATTGTTTTCTTTATTAAGTTTCTGTTGTCCCTTTAATTAGAATGGGTTCAGATCCTTAATAAGACCCTGTCCCTTTAAGAACCCCCAGAGGCAGAGATTGCAGACCTCCAGCAATTCCTCTGCAGTTAGTCTAAGGGTGCCAAAGAGCCCAGGGGCTGCAATATCTTCCACATCAAAGGTTAAGGAGATTCAGTCTAAGGAAACTATGTCAAAGGCTAAATAAACTCAGTCAAAGTTCAAGAAGCCAAAGACTGAAGAAATTAAGTTTCAGACTTGAAGAAACAAGCTTGAAATATTGAGGAACAAAACCTGCAATTTAACAGGAGGTGTTAATAGACGTCAAATCATACAAAGGTCACAAAAAAGAGCTAGAAAAAGGATCTCTTTGGAAGAAATCAAGAGAAATCCATTTAAGGTCTAAGCTTCCATCTGTTTCTTCAAGTAATTGTTTGTTAGTCAGACCCTGGGAGGAGTTAGGGTACTGATCTTCAATACAATTAAATTACTTGTTAGTTTACTGTTACACCTTTTGTTGTGAGCTTCTACCTCTGTTCCCACCTAGAATAGGGCACCTAAGAGAGTTAGTTCGGTGGACAGAACAATCCCCATATTCCAAATGTCTTTTATCTCAAATACTACCAGAAAGAAAAATAAATAAATGTGGAATCAACATGAAAAATCAACAACTACTACATTTATATGTTTTATAATTTAATATGTTATATTATTTGTTGTTGCACTTATTGCATTTATATGTTTTAATTGTTTTATAATTTGATATGTTATATTTATTATTTGTTGTATGATGTGGCACTGAATGTTGCCATAATCTGTAAGCCGCTGTGAGTCCCCTTTGGGGTTGAGAAAAGCGGGGTATAAATACAGCAAATAAATAAATAAATATGAATCACTTTTGTAAAATGTTGAAATGTGTATATATATATAATGGTATATGCATACCTGATAGAAATAGCTGTAGCATAAAATATCTATTACAAAGACTGTACATTAAATGGTTGGACTTGTGTGGTTTTATTTTAAAATTATCTAAAAATCGATTTTTAAGACTTTTTGAAGAATTCCCACAATGCTTTTGTGGAACCCTATGGTTCCACGAACACAGTTTGGGAACTGCTGAACTACATGTATCTCTACTGTCTTATTGCAATCCTATGAATGAGTAATCCTATGAATTATTCCAAATCACTGTGTTATCAACAGTCTTACCCAGGTCTTGTAAACTCAGGCTGTGATTCCCTTGATTGAGATTATCCAGCAACAGTCTGGTCTTTCTTTTCTTGCTGCCTTCTATCTAGCTAAGAGTGATTGCTTTTTCTAGCAATGGTACTTGACAATAATATTCTTTGTGTTGTCTCACCATTCAACAAATGATGAAGTAGATTGACTCTAGTTGGAACTGACCTTTCAGATTCTAGCCATTGTATGAAAAAATATAATGGTTTGAGATGGTCCCCTTCCCCTTTTGCATTCCTTCATTATATAGTGGCTAATTTGATTATTCTGTGGAATCAGTTACTTGAGGAGGTTTTATATGCCATGTTCTTTTCCTGTGAAAGGTTTTTGCAGGGAAGGAAAGGCAAGCATTTTGTAACTTTGGTAGCAGAAGGAGACAAGGAGGCTCAGCCTACCTGCTTGGAGACTAGCTGCCCATTCTTGTACTGCACAGTCCCATTTTCCGCAAAGACATAATCAAACTTGTCGATGACTGTGGGAATGGGTTTATAGGGGAAGGGAGGATGTTGAGGGGAGGATGCAAGGGAAGAGAAATGAAGGTCAGATATACATATTTAATGCAACTTTTTTGTCATTCAGGTGGCAAAAGTCCAAAAATGGTGTATAAGAATTTCTAATCCCAGTGGCTTTGACATTTTAGAACTTTTTACAGAATCATAGAGTTGGAAGAGACCTTTTGGGCCATCCAGACAAACCCCCTGCCAAGAAGCAGGAAAATTACATTCAAAGCACAGATGGCCATCCAGCCTATGTTTCGAAGCATCCAAAGAAGGAGCCTCCACCATACTCTGGGGCAGAGAGTTCCACTGCTGAACAGTCTCAAAGTTAGGAAATTCTTCCTAATGTTCAGGTGGAATCTCCTTTTCTGTAGTTTGAAGCCACTGTTCCACGTTGTAGTCTCCAGGGCAGGAGAAAATAAGTTTGCTCCTTCCTCCCTATGACTTCCCCCACATATTTATATATGGCTATCATGTCTCCTCGCAGCCTTCTCTTCTGCAGGTTAAACATGATCAGCTCTTTAAGCCTCTCCTCATAGGGCTTGTTCTCCAGACCCTTGATCATTTTAGTTGCCTTCCTCTAGACACATTCCAGCTTGTGAACATCTCCCTTCAACTGCGATGCCCAGAATTGAATACAGTATTCCAGGTGTGGTCTAAACCAAGGCAGAATAGAGAGGTAGCATGACTTCTCTGGATCTAGACACTATGCTATTTATGCAGGCAAAAATCCCACTGGCTTTTTTAGCTGCTGCATGACATTGTGGGCTCATGTTTAACTTGTTGTCCACTCCACAATGTTTTTCACACATACTGCTATTGAGCCAGGCACCCCCCATTCTGTATCTTTGCATTTGTCTAAGTGGAGTATCTTGCATTTGTCTCTGTTGAACTTCATTTTGTTAGTTTTAGCCAATTATTTTCTAATCTTTTAAGATCATTTTGAATTCTGCTCCTGTCTTCTGGAGTATTGGCTATCCCTCCCAATTTAGTGTCGTCTGCAAACTTGATGGCCTCTGCAGTGATGCCCAATAGGAATTATCATACAGAGCTGTGCACATTACTAAGTGATAAACCAGGTATAAGACTGAATATAATTGAAACTGAATTGTTTCTGACTGCACCTCTCCACATGCCGTCTCTTGACTAGTCCTGCTCCCATTTGGAAGGCTTTATTTATTTTGTGTCAAAAGCATTGCATAAAATAAGTATAAAAGTGATAAAAATAGAGGGAACACAAGAGTTAAATAATTTTTGATGAAAAACGGGCAATAGTGACCATATTGTCTGTAGCTTTAAACAATTCTTTCTCTGTGTATGAGATAGGGCGTTGTGGACAAGCATACAGATGCAGAGTTGTTTGTTCTGCTCTACAGTTGTACAAGGTAGAGGATTCTTCTAGGTGGTGCCCAGAGGAAGGCTATCTCAGGTACATAAACAAAAATCTCAAACTTGTTTACTGAAAAGTAGACTTCCTAAGGTGGGAAATGTTTGGATAAAGGGCACTCTGAAAAAACACCCCATATTAGTTTTTTATGAGAAGATGGTTTTTCTTAAAAATAGAGGAGCATTTGGACATATTCATATGACAATCATACTACATATTTTCCTCGCATGTGTGAATTAGTCCATGTGAATCTGATATTATTTTTACACTTGCTATTATGTAGTCAACAAAGTCATGAGCATAGAGAAAAGAAGTGTGATTTGCTCACCCTCGTCACCTTCTCCCAGTTGCTCGGCTATCTTGGAGTAGTCTGAGCCGCCCACCACACCGATCATCACTCTATTGCGCAGTTCTTGAAGAAATTCCGCAACTTCTGGCTCAATTTTCTGAGTGAAATGGAAAAAGAGGGAAATGATAGCTGATATGGAGATGCCATACATTCTATTAATGTTGTATTTTAATCCTTGTACCATTTATTTTAATATATGTATACAATAATGATATGTTCTAATCTAAGCATTTTATTGTATCTTATGGTGATGTGCTTTAACTGTGTTGTGCTCCACCTCGAGCCATAAGGAGACAAATTATTATTATAGGTAAATTATTATTACAGGTAACAAATTATTAATATTATCATCATTAATCTAGCAACAGGTGAGCATTTAAAACTGCGAAACTGAAAACTAGAGAGGGTTCCTGTACCTTTAATGGTTGTGCAAAAAGTGAAATTTCAGCAAAGTTTTGCTTGTCACACAACCATACCATAAGCAACACTTGCCTTTAATCTCCTTCTAGGCAACCATTAAAGGTACAGGGACTCTCCAGTTTTTCCTATAGATGTAAAACAACAACAAAAAAACCCCCTCCTCACCCACATTTTCTATTTCTCCATAGTGCCCCCCCCCCCCCCCCCGGATGGGCTCTAAGGGGTGACACTTGTCTCTGTTTGGTGCCCTAATTCAGAATTCTTCCCTTCCTGAAAGATAAAGGATCTTTGCAATTTCTGCTGCAGAAATGACTTGAGACAATTTGCCCTCTCTGTTGTCACTTCTGTTGACAAACCCAGAGGTTTGTCTTTTCTCTTGCTGATACTGCATAAGACAATGCTTTCCAAGTAAAGGAGGGCAAAGTTCTTCTATACAGAAGGCCAAAACATTTGATGAACTCTACAAACACTCCTTGTGTCTCCTCTGATAACATACAACTTGGGAAGAGTCCCAAGAGAGCATGCACTTTGTATGCAGCAGATTCCAGGTCCAATCCCTGGGATTTCCAGGGTGAGCAAGATAATGCACCTTTCTGAAATCCTGACAAGACATTACTACTCTGTGGGATGGAAGGATTTAAATACATGGGTGTGTATCAGGGAGTTATCAAGGGAAATAATCCATCTCAGAATGCCTCTGTCAGAATGACTGGCAGTCATGCTGGCCAGGTATTACGGGAGGTAAAATCTCCAAAACTGAAATTTCCATGCTTTGGGCCTTGGAAAAACAGGTGGGTTGGAAACAGCCTTTAGATCAGTGGTTCTCAACCTGTGGGTCCCCAGGTGTTTCGACCTAGAACTCCCAGACATCCCTGCCAGTTTACCAACTGTTAGGATTTCTGGGAGTTGAAGGCCAAAACATCTGGGGACTTACAGGTTGAGAAACACTGCTTCAGATATACTGGCTCTAGATTCCTCGACAAGCTTTGAATTCCTGTTCAGACACAGAAACTCACTGTGTGATCTTGGGCAAGTCATATTCTTTCACCCTAAAATAACATTGCAATGGCAAACCACATATGAGTAAATCCTCCCAGGAAAACCCTGTGATAGAATCATCATAAACTGGAGCTGATTTTAAAAAAAATACTTGACAAACAATTAAGTCACTTCAATCTATTTCACTTGGGATTATTCAGACTAGTCTGATTATACCATGGAGGTCTCTTCTTAAAAAGAATGCCTGTGTTATACAGGCAAAAGGAACCGTTACATCTTCACTGAGTATAAGCTAATCAGTGTACTGAACTGTAAAATGTGTTTTCATTGGTGAAAAATCCAAGCATCCGTTAAAATCGACAAATAAAAAAAATTCTTCATGTTCTGTCCAGCTGCAGAGTTAAAACACAAGGACTTAGAAAACACATTTTTCATTAGACAACGAAGAGAGCAATTATCTAAAACAGTTTGTATCTAGCATGTTCCTCAAATTAATATAGTCACTGTAAAATGACTTGAAAAAACACCATCTGCCTCAATTCATGTCTCTTGTTCTAGATGATCAATAAAGTTCTGACCAAGTTCTTTAAAAAATAAACAGCTTAATTAGTTTATTCAAAATGGTAGAAACAGAACATGATAGCTAGAAGCTCCAAAAGGATCTTTCCAAATGGGTGAAAACTGAACCAGTGTGCACACAAGCTACTGTAAATCTGTACTGGGATTCATTAGGAAAGGCATCAAATATAAAAAAAATCACAAGGAGCAGAACAGCTTTAGACTAGGGTGCGCATCTGTCAGTAGCAGTACAGGCATTTGATGGAGCCTTCTAGTTGCAGGTTTTTTAAAAAGGCAATCTGTCAACATTTCTTTCGCCCACTTTCTCCTCTGTTCTCAGCATATCTTGGATTCCTCTTTGACTGAACTCCTGGTAACTTGACCTTGTCATACATCTCAGCTACTCTTAATTTGAAACTCTTTTCTACTTGCAACACCTTGGCTTGCATTCTGATAATTTCTGCCTGTTCCCCTTCAAATTATCAATATCTGTTAATTTAGTGTGCACCAAACCCAGCCAATCTCTGACTTTTTCTGCCTTTTAACTCTTTATATGCCACTACTGGACACCCAAAGTCCTAAACCAGGACATCTATCTCTACTGACTCAAGGGTATCTTTGCTGGGGAACAACAACAGGAGTAGATGATAACTCCTTGGATCCTGTTTGTGAGCTTTACAGCGTATTCTAAGTGGTCACTGTGGGAAGAAGGATAAATAAACCAGACTCTTTTGACATCCTTATGTTCTTATTAGCTTTCGTCATCAACAGAGCAATGGGAGCACCTGCAATCTGCCTCTCACACACCTATTCAGCACTGTAGACTTGCTTGGAGACCTGCAAGTCCACCAAAATGCAAACAGCCCTGCAAGATTAAGACAAGAACATCCCACTTATCTCATCCTCCATTTCACTTCAGAGGTGATTTGCCACAATTTCCTTATTCTCCTAAACTCCTAATCAGAGTTACATAATAGATGCAGGAATTAGTCTGAAAGAGTGGAAAATATATCAATGATAAATACATTCCATCCCTGCTATTTCCATGTAGGTCTCAGAATGACTTTGGTATGAAATCCTGGAGACCTCCTACCAATCAGAGTAAGTAATACAGTACTCAACTGTAAACAAGGCTAGATTAAGAAATGCTGGTGTCCTAAACTATGAAAAGTTTAAGCAAACCCATAATATTATTAAAATAAACAATGCATAATAGAGGGAAAAAACGTGGAGGCAATGACAGACACTGTATTTCTAGGCGCAAAGATTACTGCAGATGCAGGCTGCAGCCAGGAAATCAGAAGATGCTTACTTCTTGGGAGGAGAGCAATGACCAATCTCAATAAAATAGTGAAGTATTCCCCATTAGCAACCTATGGATGCGAGAGCTGGACCATAAGGAAGGCTGAACGAAGGAAGATGGATGCTTTTGAACTGTGGTGCTGAAGGAAAGTTCTGAGAGTGATTTGGACCGAAAGAAGATCAAACCAGTTCATACTCCAGGAAATAATGCCCGACTGCTAACTGGAGGGAAAGATATTAGAGGCAAAGATGAAGTAGTTTGGCCACGTAATGAGAAGACAGGAAAGCTTGAAGAAAACAATGATGCTGGGGGAAATGGAAGGAAAAAGGAAGAGGGGCCGACCAAAGGCAAGATGAATGGATGGTATTCTTGAAGTGACTGGCTTGACCTTGAAGGAGGTGGGGGTGGCGATGGCCAACAGGGAGCTCTAACATGGACTGGTCCATGAAATCACAAAGAGTCAGAAGCAGCTGAACGAATAAACAACAACAACAAACAATGCATGTTATTTGAACATAATTTGGGATGAGGGTGGCTCTAAGTCAGATCTTGCACATAAAAGGACTATTGAGCCATGGCAGTCAAAGTGGTGCCAAGCCATATTTCTTTAACAGTGTACATTGCACCCAATGGTTATGTTATTCTACCTGATGTTTATGATGTTGTTCTTCCAATAAGACCAGAGAGACATTGAGCTCCCTTTTGTGTAGGAAATGGTTTTCAGGCATGGGCAAACTTCGGTCCTCCAGGTGTTCTGGACTAACTCCCACAATTCCTAACAGCCTGTGGGAGTTGAAGTCCAAAACAACTGGAGGGTCAAAGTTTGCCTATGCCTGGCCTAGATAGATATTTTAGCCTAATTCAAGGGTAGGGATCATGCAGATTTCCAGATCTTGTTGGAATGCAAGTCCCAGCAGCTCTAGGGTAGAACTGCTGGATGTTGTAGTCCAGAAACATCTGGAGGACCACATACTCTGTCCTAAATCCAAACGCTAGCTCCTCACAAATCAATCAGTAGGATTCATTAAGTGTTGACTTTCCTTTTCACAATAGATTTAATAGTTCTATTGTAACTGGGACTAAGATATGTATCTCAGTCACTGTGTGACTCAATACTAGACAGTTGCCTATGTTCAGAAGTGTTGTGAGCATGCCTTTTAGACTCCAGTAGGCAATGAATCTGTACCTTCTTTCTACTTTTCCTTTGCCCGACCTGAGACATTTTGCTGATTGAGGGAAAGATTTGCACAAAAACCAACCAGAGTGACAGCTGAGTCTTTTACACAAGTGACAGGACAGCATCTCCCACTGGTGGGGATATGGCAACTTCCATGGCAGGCACAGCATCTGCTACCGAAAAAAAAATTGCTACTTTGATATGCTCAGAGGTCAGCTCTGACGTAAGTGCTATCACTGACAAACTGCTATAGACAAGGATTAGGAGAGTAATATAAGGGTTACGTCAATGATCTTTAAACTCTCGGGGTTAGAATTACAAGACAATGGGTTAGTTCAATATAAGAAAGTGGCGGGACCAGAGCAAGAAACAGAAAGCTGGTCTAAACAGGTCCTATTCTTAGACAGGCTTACATAATCTCGGCATCATGCTACCCTGAAGCCACCGGAATCTCTTGCTTCATGTCTTTTGACAAACATAGATGTAATAAAAACTTCGTTTTTTGGGCCGTAGGGACAGCTCTGGATTGACAGGCGGGAGAACGCAACCACAGTGAGAGAGAATTGTAGGGTTTGCCTGGTCAAGCATATAATACACCTTAAGGGTAAAAATGTTTAGCCCCATGGAAGTACTGTATTTC